GCTGCCCGCTTGACAGGAGCCGCTGCCGCTTCGCCTCTTGCCAAGATGGCGGCCCCGAGCCACGTCTTCAACCGGAAGCGGCGGAGGTCAAAGGGCGGGGCGGGGCGGGGCCTGCGGGCTGGGGAAATTGAGGGTACCCTGCTCGGGTTAAGACTGTGCCCAGGAGGTGTAGGGAGCGTTCACCCCCCGACTGTGGAACCTTATATCTCTGCCCTTTCACTGTCATCGCCTTCATTTATTTAGCGTCACATCTTACAGTTTATTTTTTATTTTTATTTTTATTTTTTTTGAGACGGAGTCTCGCTCTGCCGCCCAGGCTGGAGTACAGTGACCGGATCTCAGCTCACTGCAAGCTCCGCCTCCCGGGTTCACGCCATTCTCCTGCCTCAGCCTCCCGAGTAGCTGGGACTACAGGCGCCCGCCACCGCGCCCGGCTAATTTTTTGTATTTTTAGTAGAGACGGGGTTTCACCGTGATAGCCAGGATGGTCTCGATCTCCTGACCTCGTGATCCGCCCGTCTCGGCCTCCCAAAGTGCTGGGATTACAGGCTTGAGCCACCGCGCCCGGCCGGCACATCTTACAGTTTATTAAGCCGCTGGCACAGCCACTATTATTTAATAAATATACAAGATAACCCGTGTGCATAAAGGACTAGTATCCGGAATATATATAAATAAAAAAAAATTTTTTTTTGAGATGGAGTCTCACTCTGTCGCCCACTCTGTCGCAATAGGGCGATGTCGGCTCACTGCAACCTCCGCTTCCCAGGTTCAAGGGGTTCTTCTGCCTCAGCCTCCCGAGTAGCTGGAATTACAGGCACGGGCCACTACGTTCGGCTGTTTTTTGTAGTTTTAGTGGAGAAGGGGTTTTGCCATGTCGGCCAGGCTGATCTCGAGCTCCTGACCCCAAGTGATCCACCCGCCTCAGCCTCCCAAAGTGCTGGGATTACAGGCGTGAGCCCCCGCGCCCAGCCTAAGAACTCTTATAACTCAGCAATAAGAAGACAAATACAGTATTCCTGTCTAAAAATGGGCTTCATCTGCAAAATGGAGAGAGTAGAAAACAAAAAATTAAAATGAGCAAAAGATCTGAATAGATATGTGTCCAAAGAAAATATGTAAATGGCTAATACGCACATTAAGAAATGTTGAATATCCTTAGGGAAATGGAAATCAGACCCATGGTGAGATACCACTTCACACCCACTAGGATGGCTATCATAATAATTGTTGGTGAGGATGAATGTGAAATAGTGCAGCCACGTTGGAAAAGAGTTTGGCATTTCCTCAAAAAGTTAAACAAAATTGCCATATGACTGAGCAGTTCTACTCATAGGTACATACCCAGGAGAACTGAATATATGTCAACACAAAAATGTGTACCCTAATGTTCATAGCAACTTTATTCATAGTAGCCAGAAAGTGGAGACAATCCAAACAAATCCATTCATCAATAGATGTGGCATATATATGGAATGGAGTATTATTTAATCACAAAATAGAATAAGGTACTGACATGCTACAATATGGATGAACCTTGAAAATATTATGTGAAAAAAGACAGATACAATGGGGCACTCATATATGATTCAATTAATATGAAAGATCCAGAACAGAAGAAAACCCACAGAGACAGAAACTAGCTTAGTGGTTTCCAGGGGCTCAGGAATGGTAGGAATAGGGACTGAGAGCTAATTAGTGTGAGATTTATTTCTGAAATAATTAAAACATTCTGGAATTAAGCCAGGCATGGTGGCATGATCCTAGAGTCCCAGCTACTTGGGAGGCTGAGTTGGGAGGATTAAAGGTCAGCCTGTGCAAAATAGTGAGACTTAGACTCTTAAAACAAAAACAAACAAACAAAAAATAGTAGTTCTGAAACTAGATAGAGGCAAATATACTAAAAACCACTAAATTGTATACTTCTAAAAGGTGAATTTTTATGATTTGTAAATTATATCTTTAAAAAAAAAAACATGCACAGGAAGCAGGGCAGTTGTGCTTATGTCCATTTTGTATATGAAGAAAATGATGAAAAGTTTAAGGGACTTACCCAAAGTTTCTAAACCAGTATATGATGGAACCAGGACTCAAACTCTGTTCTTGTGATTCTCATGTTATTTCCTGTATGCCAAATTTCAGATTTTTCAGAGTATAGCTGATTGAGTAGTTCATCCTTAAATCATTTTATCCCACATCCTTAGCTCAACCCAATAGCACTCACCCATATTAAACCTATATGTCCACAATTAAGTATAATAGCAACTTTTAACTGAGTGCTTAATTTGTGTCAGGTACTTTACACATGTTATTTCCAATCCTTTACAACAATCCAAATAAAGATACTGAGGATCAAAAAAGTTAAGCATTTGTCCAAACTCACACAACTAGTAAGTGGTAGAGCCAAGTTCAAAGTCAGTTTTTTCCTGGCTGGGCCCGGTGGCTTATGCCTGTAATCCCAGCACTTTGGGAGGCTGAGATGGGTGCAAGAGATCAAGACCATCCTGGCCAACATGGTGAAACCCCATCTCTCCTAAGAGTACAAAAAAAAAAAAAAAATAGCTGGCGTGGTGGTGTGTGGCTATAGTCCCAGCTACTCGGCGGGAGAATCGCTTGAACCCGGCAGGCAGAGATTGCAGTGAGCTGAGGTCTCACCCCTGTATTCCAGCCTGGGCAACAGAGTGAGACCCTGTCTCAAAAAAAAAAAAAAAAAGTGACAATGGGTACAAGCTTTCTTTAGGGGATGATGAAATGTCCTAAAAAAGATAACAACTGTACACATTTATGGGGTAAATTTTTATTTATTATTTATTATTTATTTATTTATTTTGAGATGGAATCTCGCTCTGTTGCCCAGGCTAGAGTGCAGTGGTGCCATCTCAACTCACTGTAACCTGTGCCTCCCGGGTTCAAGCGAGTCTCCTGTCTCAGCCTCCCGAGTAGCTAGGATTACAGGCATGCACCACCACACCTGACTAATTTTTGTATTTTTAGTAGAGACGAGGGTTTCCCCATGTTGGTCAAGCTGGTCTTGAACTCCTGACCTCAGGTGATCCACCCGCCTCGGCCTCCCAAAGTGCTAGTATTACAGGCATGAGCCATCTCGCCTGGAGCAATTTTAATTTTTGTTACAAAAAGCAGACATGTTTTAAGAAAGATGGAAACAAATTCTTATTTTTTTAGAAAAGTAAAAATCCTGTTAGAAACTATTGCCTTATTGCGGCACCTTCCAGGTCTTCTGACTTGGATCTCAGAAGCTGTGCAAGACCAATTGATGCTGATTCTTCGGAAATATAACTGTAACTGAATTAAACCACAGAAGAAAAATCAACCTTGTAAGTATTCTTCTCGAGGAGTCCCATAGTGGCAGTATATTATAATGGTTAAAAGCAGAGACTTAGGAATCAGACTGACCTATGTTTGGCTGCTGTTTTCAGGACTTATTAGCTGAGTGACTTCAGGCAAGTTACTTTAACTGTCTAAGCCTCAATTACCTAATCTGTAAATTGGCGGTAACATCTATCTCATAAGGTTGTGAAGTAAATTAGATGATATAATCTAAGTGCTCCCCTGCAAAAAATCTAAGTGCTCCTACATAGTAAGTACTCCACATTACATATCCACTATTACGAGCAAAATACATCACAAAATTTTTTTAATGCAGTTCCATTTTTAACTATCAGTATCCCAGAAAAGGTGTCTCTTATTTTTAAAGGCCACTTTCCTTGTTTTCCTCTGGCAGGTTTTCAGGATCAAATTTCCAATATTATTTTCTTTTTAAAATTTATTATTATTATTTTGAGATGGAGTCTCGCTCTGTCACCCAGGCTGGAGTGCAGTGGCGCGATCTTGGCTCAACACAACCTTTGCCTCCCAGGTTCAAGCAATTTTCCTGCCTCAGCCTCCCGAGTAGCTGGGATGACAGGTGCGCACCACCATGCCCAGCTAATTTTTGTGTTTTTAGTAGAGATGGGGGTTTCACCATGTTGGTCAGGCTGGTCTCAAACTCCTAACCTTGTGATCCACCCGCCTTGGCCTCCCAAAGTGCTGGGATTACAGGTGTGAGCCACCGTGCCCAGCCAAAAAATTATTATTATGATTCATTATTTATCTTTGAGATGGGGTCTCGATCTGTTGCCCAGGCTGGAGTGAATGCAATGGTCCAATCTCGGTTCACTGCAACCTCTGCCTCCCTGGCTCAAGCAATCCTCCTGCTTCAGCCTCCCGAGTGGCTAGCACTACAGGCGTCTGCCACCACACCTGGCTAATTTTTTTTTAATTTTTAATTTTTATTTTTAATAGAGTGGAGAGGGGCGTTTCTCGCTATGTTGCTCTAGCTGGTCTCAAACTCCTGAACTCAAGCAATCCTCCTGCCTCCGCCTCCTGAAGCGCTGGGATTACAGGCATGAGCCACCACACCCGGCCTCCAATATTTTATGTTTCTCTTTCCCTGACTTCCCAAATTAATTATGTCCACAGTTTGAAAATATTTGTTCCTTACGTCTCCATTCACTCATTCCTCGATTCATCCACCCGATGAGCATTGTTAGTGTCTAATTTCTGCAATGTACTGGTGTTACAAAGTTTAAAAATTAATTAGACACAGATCCTGCTTTAAATAAGTTCACAGTCTTCTTTAGCAAATAAGAAAGACAGGACACAGAGTAAACTTTGAACCTCAGATACACAAGGAATAATTTATTACTGTAAGTATGTCCCATGCCATGGCACCCTGTGGAGGGGAAAGACTACAATGTAATATAGTGCTAGAAAAGGACGTACAGAGTGCTGCGGAATTTCCCCTGGAGAGTGTGTCTACATTCCTGTAAGACTGATCTGGGAGGAACTGCAACCCCAGAGATTGTTGTCCTAGGGGAACAAACGCACACCCTGTTTCCAGATTGGAGGGCTAACTCTGTACCAGCCCGAAATTTATCAACCGGCGTTGCCACCCGCAGCCGCTAGATGCCGTAACAGACGCATTTACTAAAACCATAGACAAACAGGCGACTTGGCCGCCCAGAGAGGCTTTATCCGTGGCCCCTTGATCTTCTTCCTGCGCTGAGAGCCTTCGCGGGTGAGGCGTAACGTGCAGGAGGTCTCACGAGAGTGGAAGCAAGTCTCGCGAATTTTAAAATTTATCTTTTTGCCTAGCGACTGACAACAGGCTGGTTGCTTGGCGTGGAATGGTAAAGTGGCCTGGCTTTGAGACTGGAGTGAGACCCTAGCCCTAGGCTGGGGTTCTTTCCATTATAGAGGAGACGGATTCAGAAGGGCTACAGGTAATTAGTACTCACCCCAGCAAAAAGGGAACTGTTTTTCTAGAGAGGCTTAAGAGGACTCCCCTTTACCCCATTCCCAGTTACCTCTTCCCATCTCCGTGGTAACTGTTCCTTCGTCACCTCACCACCAACCGTCCTGCTTCCTTTATTCACCAAGAAACTTAGGTGGGCTCCTATCTGCAAGATAAGGATGAAACTGGAGGTGATGCTTTTCTGATTATTGGATGGGACCGAGAGACTGGAGTTTCCCTTCTCTTCCGGGACCCTCCCACCCTACCCCGTCTCACTCCACCCTACCCCGTCTCACTCCACCCCACCCCACCCCAGAGGTGGCTCCAGAGACAGAACTCTTTCTAGAACCTCTACAGCCTCCCCTGAGAAACCTCAACAGCCTTGGCCATCCACATACGGCGAATAGTGTTCTGCCCTCGCGCGTGATGGTACAGCTTTGGGAAGCTGCAGAAGTTGGCTTTCTTTCCCTCCACGATTCCCTCGTTCCTCAGCGAGCCTGCCAGCAGTTCCTAAATAAGGGCTGCAACAGAATGACTTAACTGCTTGACCGAAGGCCAGGAAACCTTAAGGAAAGTTTGGATGGGGTGACGGTTTTATGAAAAACTAGTTTCTTGAGTAAGGAAGAGGAGCCAATGCTGGTTTGGAATATACCTCCTGGCAGAGTGCTTGATGTCCCATGATAGGAACTATGTAATCATGTCTCCTTTTGCTTAGACCAAGGTTATTGAAAACCAGACATATGATGAACGTCTAGAGATTAACGACTCTGAAGAGGTTGCAAGTATTTATACTCCAACCCCAAGACACCAAGGTAAGAGAGGAAAGAAGAGAAATGGTACTCAAAGAGCAGGATGGATTCACAGTTGTCTTCAAGAGGTTCCTATTTTATAATAGCAAATGTTGACTTTCAGAGTCAATTTACTTCACTTGCCATTGTTTGTTTTCTAACTAGTTAAGGGGGAGAAATCATAGCCTTCCAAATTACAGGATCTTCCCCCAGTTCAGCCCTGTCACCATTTACTTCATATTACTGCTTTGCTCACTATCTGCCAGGAATTCACTGTACTGTTTTTTTTTTTTTAACATGTTTTTCCCGGCTTTGAAGATGCTTCATAACCTCCCCTTAGACTGCAACCCCAACCAAAATCACAGTGGAATGTTTTTAACGGGCTGAACACTATTTATTTATTCAACAAACTATTTTTTGCTTAATTTTATAGAGACGAGGTCTCACTATGTTACCAAGGCTGATCTTGAACTCCTAGCTTCAAGCAGTCCTTCCACTTTGGCCTCCCAAAGTGCTGGGATTACAGGTGTGAGCCATCGTGCCTGGCCAACAAGCATTTAAAAATGCCTACTGTGTGCCAGCCTTATGCCTGGCACTTGGGTAAATAGTGTTAAATGACACAATGTCCTTGCCATCCCGATGCTTGTAATCATGGGAGGCAGATGACAAATGAGTACACACATTCCAAATGTGGTAAGTGCACACCGATGGAGGCAGATTGTTTCTGTTAAGGAGAGTAACAGCGAGGAAGGAGACCTACTTATTTTTATTTTTATTTTTTTGAGATGGAGTCTCACTCTGTCACCCAGGCTGGAGTGCAGTGGTGCAATCTTGGCTCACTGCAACCTCCGCCTCCTGGGTTCAAGCAATTCTCCTTCCTCAGCTTCCCGAGTAGCTGAGATTACCACACCCAGCTAACTTTTGTATTTTTAGTAGAGACAGGATTTCACCATGTTGGCCAGGCTGGTCTTGAACTCCTGACCCCAACCGATCTGCCTGCCTCAGCATCCCAAAGTGCTGGGATTACAGGCGTGAGCCACAACTTCCGGCCAGAGACCCACTTTTGATAGGGTGGTCAGGGAAGATCTAAAGGGGTGACATGTAAGACTGGTAGATGGCAGGGATCCAGACACTGAGGAAAAGTAGACCAGGAAGAGGAAACAGTATGTGAGATGTGAAAAACCTTGAAGCCTGAAAGAACTTGGCTTAGTTTGAGAACCTGAAAGAGACCAGTTTACGGTAGAGGGGACTCTACCGTATGATATGGTCAGATCAGAGAGGTAGGGCAGGAAGCATAATAAGCAGAGCTTTGGAGGCTGTGTTGCTGTCGTGTGTGGAATGGACTGTTGCGATGGCTGAGTTGAGATGATAGTGGCTTGACCTCTGGTGAGGAAGTTGACAATAAAGAAAAGAGGCAAATATGGTACAAGACAGATTGTCGTAGAATCACTAAGATTGCTGATGGATTGGATTTGACTCGAGTTAGGAATCAAGGATGACATCCAGGGTTTCTGTTTGTTTATTGTGGTAAAATATACATAACATAAAATTTGCCATTTTAACAATTTTTAAGTGTGCAATTAAATAACATTAAGTACATTCACAATGTTGTATGACCATCACCACTATTTCCAGATCATCCCAAACAGAAACTCCATGCCCTTTAAACAATAACTCCTGATTGCTTGCTTCCACTCTTCCCTGGTAATCATTATTCTACTGTCTCTATGAGTTTGCTTGTTCTGGGAACCACATAAGTGAAGTCATGCTGTATTTATCCTTTTGTGGCTGACTTACTTCACTTACTGTGATGTTTTTAAGGTTCACCTGTATAGAATGTAGACTTTCTTTTTTAAAGCTAATATTCCATTGCATGTATATGCAAGTTTTTTTTTTTTTTTTTCTTTTTTTGAGACTGAGTCTCGCTCTGTCACCCAGGCTGGAGTGCAGTGGCATGATCTCGGCTCACTGCAACCTGCGCCTCCCGGGTTCAAGCGATTCTCCTGCCTTGGCCTCCTGAGTAGCTGGCACTATAGGTGCACACCACCACACCCAGCTAATTTTTTTGTATTTTTAGTAGAGATGGGGTTTTACCACATTGGCCAGGATGGTCTTGATCTCCTGACCTTGTGATCCACCTGCCTTGGCCTCCCAAAGTGCTGAGATTACAGGCGTGTGCCACCGCGCCTGGCCTATGCCACATTTTTAAAATTCATTCATCTGTTAATGGACACTCAGGTTGTTTTCATGTTTTGGCTATTGTGAATAGCACTACTATGAACAGAGGTGTACAAGTGTCCATTTGAGTCCCTGTTTTCAAATTCTTTGGGACCAAGCCAAACCTAGTTTTTTCTTTTTTTTTTTTTTTTTTTTTTTTTTTTGAGACGGAGTCTGGCTCGTCTCGCCCAGGCTGGAGTGCAGTGGCCGGATCTCAGCTCCACTTGCAAGCTCCGCCCTCCCAGGTTCACGCCATTCTCCTTGCTCAGCCTCCCGAGTAGCTGGGGACTACAGGACGCCCGCCACCTCGGCCCGGGCTAGTTTTTTTGTATTTTTTTAGTAGGAGACGGTTTCACTGTGTTAAGCCAGGATGGTCTCGATCTCTCCTGACCTCGTTGATCCACCCGTCTCGGCCTCCCAAGAGTGCTGGGATTACAGGCTTGAGCCACCACGCCCGGGCCGCCACCTAGGTTTTTGACTTGAGCATGTTTGTGCTCTTGACAGCTGCAGATATCTATAATTTTGTTTTTTAGTTTGGGCTAATTAGTAAACAAAAAAAATAGGTGTTATTATTTGCATTTCTTTCACATAGAAATCATTTTATCATGTTTTCATTTCCAGTTAATGCCTTACATCTAATTACACTTTTATTATTTATTTATTTATTTTTTGAGTCAGAGTCTCGCTCTGTTGCCCAGGCTGGATGCAGTGGCACCATCTCGCTCCCACTGCAACTCCGCCTCCCAGGTTTTCACGCCATTCTCCTGCCTTCAACCTCCCGAGATAGCTGGGACTACAGGCACCCACCAACCACACTCAGCTAATTTTTTATGTTACATGTAGGAGACGGGGTTGCAAGCCGTTAAGCCCAGGATGTCTCGCGAGTCTCCTGATCCTCGTGATCCACCCGCCTCCTTGTCTTCCGTCAATGTTGCTGGTGTATACAGGTGTGAAAGCACCGCGGCCCTGCCTTATTAACTTTATTTTTAATTTAATTTTTTATTTATAAAAGACAGATTTGCTCGTCATCCAGCTTGAGTGCCTATTTCACGGTTCTACGTGCCTCTGCCAGCCTCGACCTCCTGTAATGCAGCCCTTTCTTTTTTTCTCATGGATCTCCACAGTAGTTGGTGATCTACTCGTAGTGCCAATCCCCATTGTCCAGCTTAATTTTTTTTTTTTTCCTTTGAGATGGAGTCTTGCCTGTCAACCCCTTTAGGCTGGAAGTGCAGTGGCGTGTGGTATCTCAGCTCAACTTTGCAACCGTCCCACCTCCAGGTTCCAAAGCAATTTCTTTCCTTGCCTCCAGGCATCCTTGAAGTAGCTGAATTATAGGAGTGTGCCACCCATGCCGGGCTTAAATTTTTTTGTTTCTGTTGTTGTTTTTTGATAGACGGCAGTTCTCTCTGCGCCCTAGTTGCTGGGATCTGTTGGCGGGTCCTCAGGCTCACCTGCAGCTCGCCTCCCGGGTTCCCCTAATTCTCCTTGCTCAGCCTCCCGAGTTAGGCTGACTACAATGGGCGGCTCCGCCACCTCGCTGCCGGCTAGTTTTTTGTTATTTTATTAGAGATTTTGTGCTTTTCACCGTGTTATCCAGGGATGGGTTCTGATTTCCTGTATCCTCGGTTCGATCCACCCTATCTCTGGCTTCCCAATAAACTAAGTTGGCCTTGGGATTACAGGGCTTGAGCCCACCGGCGCCCGGCCTTTTTTTTTGTATTTTTAGTAGAGATGGGATTTCACCCTGTTGGCCAGGCTGGTCTCGGAACTCATGACCTCAGGTGATCCACCTGCCTCAGCCTCCCAAAGTGCTGGGATTACAGGCATGAGCCACCGTGCCTGGCCTAATTTTTGTATTTTTTGTAGAGACAGGGTTTCGCCGTGTTGCCCAGGCTGGTCTTGAACTCCTAGGCTCAAACAATCTGCCTGCCTCCACCTCTTAGAGTGCCAGGATTACAGGTGTGAGTCACCGCGCCTGGCATTAATTATACTTTTAATTGTTCAGAGTATTTAAAAGTTGCTCTTATCTTTGCTTACTGATTCAGGTTCAAACTTGTGACTATTATTTGCCAGGCCCTGGGTCAGTTCCTTGCACATAAATTTTTTCATTTGATCCTTATAAGAGGCCGGGGTGAGAAATATTAGTGACCCATTTAGAGGTGGGAATATTGAGACTGAAAGAGGTTAAATCTTTTTTTTTTCCTGTCCATAAGTTTATTGTCTTTATCTGAAAAATCTTTATAGAAAATTGTTTGATTTCACTCTCAGCAGCCCGCTCCTGAGCTCTGAGGAAGCTGGCTTTCTTTTGAGCTACCTGATGTTTTTTCTGAGCAATGGACATTTTGGGACAGTTCCACCTCTGCTTTTTAACTTCTTCCTTGGGCTTATTTTCATAGACTGGATTCTCTTGTATAGCACCATGAGTTTTCTTATACATCTCCTCCATCATGTCTGGTGTTACGCTGTTCTTTTTGTATGGAGAGAACTGGTTCTTGTAAGCATCATCATCTTCTTCCATTAAGTAGCGCATATAATCTGCAACATTCTGTCCCATGATGTGCTCCTGGTGTACTTCTGCATTAAATTCCTTGCTTTCAGAATCATAACCAGGGAATCATTTGGTACTGTGAGGAATAGACAAGCCTCTATCCACAGCGCCCTTCAGGGCGCCAAAAACTTTATTCCCAGTGATAGTTCTGGCAAGGCCTGCATCCAAATAGCAGGTAAAGGCACCTGGCTGACCATCAATGCTTTCCACACTGTATTCATTGGCAGTCTCCTCCACTTGGCCTTCGTAGATCTTATTCATGCCAAACCTATTGAGAAGCCTGTGGGCCAGCAGCAGGCCAGTACAATACGCTGCAGCATAATTTGTCAGGCCAACCTTCACACCATATTTTGGCAGTTTTTGTGCATGTGCTGCACAGACTATATCCCCCTCTATATGGGCATAAGCAGTCTGACAAATGATATCTCTGTTTGTTACACAAATTATCATCCTGTATTTGGGTGTGTTGTATTTATTTTCATCCTGTATCACCAAGTGTTTCTGAGGATAGTAATCAGTTTTACCCACTCATCTTCTAAATTTCACTTGATAGCTCTTAAAGTAGGCCTTATTCTTAACAACTTTAGCAAACCCCATCCTGCGGAACAGAGACCTGGGTCCGCGGCTCGACAGAGACCTGCAGGCACAGCAGCACTAGGGGGTGGAAAGGCAAAATCTTTTTAAGTAATTTGTCTTCAAACCCACTCTTGGTATAAATTCAGCACTCTGTGCTTTACTAGTGTAAACTAAGGGCAGAGTGTATATTTTTTTTCTTTGTCTTTCCTTTTTTTTTTTTGAGACAGGCTCTCACTCTGTTGCCCGGGCTGGAGTGCAGTGGCATGAACACTGAACGCTGCTTACCGCAGCCTCAAACTTCTGAAACTCCTGGGTTTAAGCAGACCTCCTGCTTTAGCCTCCCGAGTAACTGGGACCACAGGCGCACACCATCACACCCAGCTAATTTTTTCTTCTTCTTTTTTTGTAGATGGGATCTTGCCATATTTTTCAGGCTAGGCTCAAACTCTTGGGCTCAAGTGATCCTCCTGCCTCCCCTTCCCAAAGTGTTGGGATTATAGGCATGAACCACTGCCTCTGGCCAGAGTTTATATTATTTATGTAATGGCCGATAATTTGATTAGTATAATGTCTAACCCAATGCCTTAAGCATAGTAATATTTAGTAAATATATCTTGAATTGAATTGGCAGAGCCATGACTAGAATTCAGTCTCCTGTCTTTTTAGCTAGATGTTCCAATAAACCTTGTTTTATAAAATGGTTAGAGCATAAAATGTTACAAACTAAAAAATATTTGTCTTTAAAAATCATTTTAACAATAATCTAAAGGAAGACCTTTTTTTTTTCTAAGGACTTCCTCATTCTGCCCATCTTCCTAACAAGGCTATGGCTGATAACAGCAGTGATGAGTATGAAGAGGAAAATAACAAGGTACAGTAATACTCACAGCTTCTTGTAGAATTTCTGCTTTGGGTTTTTAGTAGTTAGAGATTACACCAGTTTAATGCTAAACATTTCTTGAACACTCACCTTCAGTGGTTAGGGACCTTTGAGCTCATGGAGGAAAATCAGTTACAAAGAACCTTGAGATTTTGACCCTTCTTCAGGAATAAAGCCTACTATTACAATTGACTTTGGTGAGGAATTTCATGTAATGTAGGCCAGTGTTTCACAAACTTTCTTGATTATAAGGCTCAACTGAGATACTTATTTTTAAATATACAGATTCCTGGCTGGGTGCAGTGGCTCACACATGTAATCCCAGCACTTTGGGAGGCGGAGGCGGGTGGATCACCTGAGGTCGGGAGTTCGAGACCAGCCTGACCAACGTGGAGAAACCCCGTCTCTACTAAAAATACACAATTAGCCAGACATGGTGGCACATGCCTGTAATCCCAGCTGCTTCAGAGGCTGAGGCAGTAGAATCACCTGAACCCAGGAGGTGGAGGTTGTGGTGAGCTGAGATCGTGCTATTGTACTCCAGCCTGCACAACAAGAGCGAAACTCTGTCTCAAAAAAAAAAATAAATAAATAAATAAATAAAATATACAGATTCCCGGTCCCACCCCAGAATCTCAAAAGTAAAAGCCTGGGAATTTATATTTTTTAGGAAGCAGTTCAGGTAATTTTATGCTAAAGCGAGTTTGAAATTATTAGTCTAGGCATTTTTTCATTATCAATATTTGTGATACTGTCAGTATTTTGTGAAAGAGATTTTAATTTTGAGGTCTTAAGACCCAGATACTGGCTGCTGTTATTCTGTGAACCTAGAGAACCACCCTACTTCTATAAGAAAGATGGCAAGATGCCCATCTCTCTAGAAACATGTAGGACCTTAGAGTTGTACATATGATTTCTTAAAAACCATTTGTGTTGGCCGGGCGTGATGGCTCACTCCTGTAATCCCAGCACTTTGGGAGGCCGAGGCGGGCGGATCACCTGAGGTCAGGAGTTTGAGACCAGCCTGCCCAACATGGCGAAACCCCGTCTCTGCTAAAAATACAAAAAATTAGCTGGGCGTGGTGATGGGTGCCTGTAATCCTAGCTACTCGGGAGGCTGAGGCGGGAGAATCACTTGAACTCGGGAGGCGGAGGTTTCTGTGAGCCAAGATCGTGCCACTGCACTCCAGGCTGGGCGATAAGAGCGAAACTCCGTCTCGAAAAAAAAACAAAAAACAACCATTTATGTTTAGCCTTAGCACATTATCCAAAGGTTATGTTGTTTTGTTTTGAGACGGAGTTTCACTCTTGTTGCTTGGTTCACTGCAATCTCTGCTTCCCAGGTTCAAGTGTTTCTCCTGCCTCAACCTCCTGAGTGGCTGGGATTACAGGTTCACCACGCCTGACTCATTTTTGTATTTTTAGTAGAGACAGGATTTCACCATGTTGGTTAGGCTGGTCTTGAACTCCTGACCTCAGGCAATCCACCCACCTCCGCCTCCCAAAGTGCTGGGATTACAGGCATGAGCCACTGTACCCGGCCTGTTTTTTTTTTTTTGTTTGTTTGTTTTTTTGTTTTTTGAGATGGAGTCTTGCTCTTTCACCCAGGCTGGAGTGCAATGATCTTGGCTCACTGCAGCCTCCTCGGCCTCCCAAAGTGCTGGGACTACAGGTGTGAGCCACTGCACCTGGCCTGATGGCTGCATTTTAATGGTTTTTTTTGTTTTGTTTTGATACAGAGTCATCTCGCTCTGTTGCCCAAGCTGGAGTGTAGTGGCACGATCTCAGCTCACTGCAACCTCCACCTCCCTGGTTCAAGCGATTCTCATGCCTCAGCCTCCTGAATAGCTGGGACCACAGGCCTGCACCAACTCGCCTGGCTAATTTTTTTATTTTTAGTAGAGACGGGGTTTCACCATGTTGGCCATGTTGGTCTCGAACTCCTGACCACGTGATCCACCCACTTTGGCCTCCCAAAGTGCTGGGATTATAGGCGTGAGCCACCGCACCAGGCTGACAATATTCTTAAAAGTTCCCTGTGCCAAAACTGCTTCCTATGTGACTAAGAATAATTTTGGCAAATCTTGAATTGAGAAAGAATGCTCTAGAAAGTTCTTATCAATCATATACTAATAAGGCATAGTCACTGAATAAATTCTGCAACTGTGTTTCATTATCTGCCATGCATATTACAGCTTAGTTAGAATATACTTTTATCTACGTATAATAAATTTGTTATTCTTAGAGCAAAATGTGACCAAAAGCAGTTTTAGGTGTCCTGTAACGTGTCACAATTTTGTGTGCCAATAGCTGCTTTACCATAAAAACAAATTAATTTTAAACAACTGGAATCAAACGTGTTAACCTCAGTATAAGACGTGGTATATAGAAACCAAGTTTTGAAAACCTACTTTTAAAGGGGGCCAATTGGTCATCCTTCAGGTCCTAAGGGAGGGCATGCCACAGGCTCCAGGCCACAGAGGCAAAGACATGGACCCTGTTCCACCTGCCCCTGAAAGTCTCAAGTGCCACCAGACCCCTTCTCATGGACTTGAGAGGGTGGGATGGTACAGAGAGAGCCAGAAGCACAGAAAGGTAGGTTATAATGCCAAGGACAGAAGAGCTGCTTATCTTGAGAGAGAATGTGTAGTCATTGTATGTAATTTATGGGGTAAGGGAAGGGAAATACGATAGGTCAGATACTCCATGAAGAGAAATATCACTGAACAAAAATGGAAAGTCCATAGTCTCTGGAACTGCTGGTTAGATGGGCACAAAGTTAATTTTGAACTTTCTTCTTTTGATAGTTTCAAGCAGCTTACGCTGGGCAGTCTTGCAAATTAAGTACTAGATTTCCTCTCTATGGTCTTTGTGAGTATTAAGACCCCTAAAGTTTCTATTTCCACTTCATCTTCCCCGATTTTCTTCCAAAATAACTAGAGTTGCCATCTTCTTCTTTGAAAGTCCATAGCTTTTTGGGCCGAAGCTGTCTAAAGTGTATGCAGAGCGCTAAAGATCTAAGTAATATGTACAGTAGATAAAATTAGATGGAATTTATACCCCAGCCTCAAGTAGAGAAATGGAATATGGTTCTAGCAAGTGGAGTCCCCATTTGTAGCTGAGCAGGGGCAGAAGAAGGCTCTCAAGCCCCTTCTGGGAAGTGCTCCCTTCTCTTTCTGGTGATTAGGTGCCAGGTGGTTGGGGTATTGGTTAGAGCAATAGAGAACTGGGCATAGGTATGTTTGATTTTTTTTACTTGAAGCTTTCTATGCCTGCCCTGCCCTATCTCAGGAGAAGAAGAAGACCTCACAGTTGACACCTCAACGGGGCTTTAGTGAAAATGATGATGACGATGATGATGATGATTTATCTGAAACTGATTCTGATTCTGATGATGATGATGAAGAGCATGGAGCCCCTCTGGAAGGGTGAGGAAAGAACACCCAAGCCAAGGGTGTTCTTCAGAATACCTCCTTCAAAACACTGGAGTGGGAGGACGTCAGTTAGAAGTGAAATTCCAGCATCTCTTTTGATCTCCTGTATTTAGGATTTTCAGGTGTCTCAGAAACCCAACATAATAATGAGTTTTCCTCCCTTTCTGACTCCACTACCTCATCCAGTCCTATAGTATCACTTGTACTATCTGAAACATTTGTGGGCTTGGGGATTACATGAGATTTTGCTGAGTAAATCTAAAAGGTGGTGGCCAGGCATGGTGGCTCAAGCCTGTAATCCCAGCACTTTGGGAGGCGGAGGTGGGAGGATTGGTTAAGGCCAGGAGTTCAAGACCAACCTGGGCAACATAGCAAGACCTCGTCTCTACAAATTTTTTTTTTTTTTTTTTTTTGAGATAGAGTCTTGCTCTGTCGCCCAGGCTGGAGTGCAGTGGTGTGATCTTGGCTCACTGCAAGCTCCACCTCCCAGGTTCCTGCCATTCTCCTGCCTCAGCCTCCCAAGTGCTGGAACTACAGGCAACCACCACCATGTCTAGCTAATTTTTTTGTATTTTTAGTAGAGACGGGATTTCACCATGATAGCCAGGATGGTCTCGATCTCCTGACCTCGTGATCTGCCCACTTAAGCCTCCCAAAGTGCTGGGATTACAAGCATGAGCCACCATGCCTGGCTGCCCAAAAGTTTTTTAAAAATTAGCCTAGCATGCTGGTGTGTGCCTATAGTCCCAGCTGCTCAGGAGGCTGAGGCAGGAGAATCACCTGAGCCCAGGAGTTTGAGACTGCAATAAGCTATGATTGGGCTTCTGCACTCCAACCTGGTCAACAGAGTGAGACCCTATCTCAAAAATAAATTAAATTAAAAAAAAATAACACTGCTAAAAACACTTGTATAAAAATTTCTTTTTTTCTTGGTGCAAACTATTTTCATGTCAGCTATTTAAATCTCTCTCTCTTTTTTTTTTTTTTGAGACAGAGTCTTGCTCTGTTATCCAGGCTGGAGTGCAGTGGTACTATCTTGACTCACTGCAACCTCTGCCTCCCAGGTTCAAACGATTCTCCTGCCTCAGTCTCCTGAGTAGCTGGGACTGCAGGTGTGTGTGACCACACCTGGCTGATTTTTGTATTTTCAGTAGATAGGATTTCAACCATGTTGGCCAGGCTGGTCTTGAACTCCTGACCTCAGGTGATCCCGCCTGCCTTGGCCTCCCAAAGTGCTGGGATTACAGGTGTGAGTCACCATGCCCAGCCCTAAAATCTCTTGTTGTACCTTTTCTTGTCATCCTTTCATTAAAAAAGGGTGAACCATTTATGCTACATTTTAACATCAAAAAATATTATATTTTGGATTTTCTGCACCTCTGTCCTTCAGAGTCAGAGATAATTGAGAGTTAAGTATGATCAACTTTAAAGTTGCCTTGCAAGCCATCAGGAAAGGCAGATATTGGAGAGGCAGAAGCTAGGTTTAGGATCATGTCCCTATAGTCAGTAACACAGCAGTACCTAGGACCCTGCCACCTCTGCTCTTCTCTGGCCACCTCGAACAAACTATTTTCCTTTTCCCAGGGCCTATGACCCTGCAGATTATGAGCATTTGCCAGTTTCTGCTGAGATTAAGGAACTCTTCCAGTACATCAGTAGGTGAGTACTAGGACCTCCCACCATACCCCACTATCCCTACCTTGCCCCAAACCTTTCCTACCTCTAGTCTGAAACAGGGCCATTCTCTGTAGATTTTTTTTAGCCTGAATAGTAAAGTAATTTTCTCTGACTGTCTCCACCTTCCCTTGGCAATATCTCCTAGGTACACACCTCAGTTGATTGACCTGGACCACAAACTGAAGCCTTTCATTCCTGATTTTATCCCAGCTGTCGGGGATATTGATGCATTCTTAAAGGTATAGTCAGTACATACTGAAAACGACTCCTTAAGTGTTTCTTCTGATGCCCCTGTTACTCTTAACAGTTTCCCTAATTTCTTTGACTAGCGTTGGCTAGTCATGTTCATTTCATTGGAGTTCTTAACCTTGCTCTCAACTCCAATTTATACTCATTGCTCTTAAGTAATACTTAATATCTCATTATACATTGTTTGTCATGTATTTGCTTCCTAATTATCTAGGACAATAGGTTTATATTTAAGCTGCTATGGATCATATATTTTTTTCTGGATAGTATTGAGTACAGCAGGATAAGCATGCTTTTAATATAGTAATAATGATGAACCAGAAGAGTTCTTCCTCTTTAACTTACTGGAAACATGTTCCTTTCTGCTTTCTTACCTTTTCCTTAACCAGGTCCCACGTCCTGACGGAAAGCCTGACAACCTTGGCCTGTTGGTATTGGATGAACCTTCTACAAAGCAGTCAGACCCTACAGTGCTCTCACTCTGGTTAACAGAGAATTCTAAGCAGCACAACATCACGGTAAGATACTAGCTTAGTGTAGGCTCCAGCTGGAGAGGGCCAAGAGCGGAGGAGGCCTTGCTGGCACTCATACAGTTGACTTACTGCCTATCAAAAGAGATGGCAATCGCTTTTGGCCAGCCCTATTTTTTAAAGGACAGCTTTATTTATATATAATTTATATACCAGCAAGTTTAGCCATTTAAATTGTACAACTTATTTTAATATAATCACAGTTGTATAGCCATCACCACTACCTAATTTAGAATATTTCATCACCTCAAAAAGAAACTTCATACTCATTAATATTCATTCCTCATTCTCCCACTTCCTCCTAGACCCTGGTAATGACTTCATTCCTTTATTACGGCTGAATAATATACACTGTGTGGATTTACCAGATTTTCTTTATTCATTCTCTAGTTCTTTCCACTCTTATTAATAATAGTGCTTTGAATATTTGTATACAAGTTTTTGTGTGGGTATATATTGTTACTCTGTTGGGTATATACATAGAAGTAGAATTGCTGGGCCATATGGAAACTCTATGTTTAGCCATTTGAAGAACTACCAAACTGTTTTCCAAAGTGGTTGTACCATTTTACATTCCCACCAGCAGTGAATGAGAGTTCCAGTTTCTCTACATCCTCACCAATACTTTTTGTTTGTATTTTTTATTCTAACCATCCTAGTAGGTGTGAAATGGTATTTATTTTATTTTATTTTTTTCTGAGACAGTTTCACTCTTGTTGCCCAGGCTGGAGTGCAGTGGCGCAATCTTGGCTCACCACAACCTCCGCCTCCTGGGTTCAAGCAATTCTCCTGCCTTGAGTAGCTGGGATTACAGACATGCGCCACCATGCCCAGCTAATTTTGTATTTTTAGTAGGGACAGGGATTCTCCATGTTGGTCAGGCTGGTCTCGAACTCCCGACCTCAGGTGATCCACCCACCTCGGCCTCCCAAAGTGCTGGGATTATAGGCATGAGCCACCAAGCCCTGCCTAAATAGTATTTCATTATGGTCAGTCCTGCCATTTTGACCTGTCCCCTTTCCATGGCTCCAGCAAATTATTATTTTTTTTGAGACAGGGTCTCGCTCTGTCACCCATGCTGGAGTGCAGTGGTGTGATTGTGGCTCACTGTAGCCTCAATCTCCTGTGCCCAAGCAATCCTGCTACTTCAGCCTCCCAAGTAGCTGGGACAGACCACAGGTGTGTGCCACCATGCCTGGCTAGGTTTTTTTTGTTGTTTTTTTTTTCAATTTTTATTTTGTAGAGGCAAAGTTCTCCCTATGTTGCCTAGGCTGATCTCAAGTGATCCTCCTGCCTCAGCCTCCCAAAGTGCTAGGACTGCAGATGTGAGCCACTGCACTTGACTTTTTTTTTTTTGAGACGGAGTCTCGCTTTGTTGCCTAGGCTTAAGTGCAGTGGCACGATCTCAGCTCACTGCAGGCTCCGCCTCCAGGGTTCATGCCATTCTCCTGCCTCAGCCTCCAAGTAGCTGGAACTACAGGCGCGCACCGCCACGCCCAGCTAATTTTTTGTATTTTTAGTAGAGACGGGGTTTCACCGTGTTAGCCATTATGGTCTCGATTTCCTGACCTCGTGATCCACCCGCCTTGGCATCCCAAAGTGCTGGGATTACAGGCCTGAGCCACCGCGCCCGGCTTTTTTTTTTTTTTTGAGACAGGATCTCGCTCTTGCCCAGGCTGGAGTGTAGTGGCACAATCGTAGCTCACTGCAACCTCAAACGCCTGGGCTCAAGCAATCCTCCCATCTCAGCCTCTAAAGTAACGGAGACCACAGGCATACACCACCACGTCTGGCTAATTTTTTAATTTTTAGTACAGACAAGGTCTCACTGTGTTGTCCAGGCTGGTCTTGAACTCCTAGTCTCAAGTGATCCTCCCACCTCAGACAGCCAAAGTGCTAGGATTACAAGTGTGAGCCGCCATGCCTGGCCTGGCTTCAGCAGATTTTATCAGGGTTTCCTGTCCCCTTCATTTGACTGCTGTTTCATGTGGCAGCGGCTGCCATCAGCAAGCCTAAATATGAAACAACAGTGGATATAATGAGGACACTGTAAAAACAAGAGAGCTACTTCAGTGCCATCAGCTAGGCTTTCTCCTTATTTTCCTAGCAACATATGAAAGTAAAAAGCCTGGAAGATGCAGAAAAGAATCCCAAAGCCATTGACACGTGGATTGAGAGCATCTCTGAATTACACCGTTCTAAGCCCCCTGCGACTGTGCACTACACCAGGTAAGAAATACCACATTCTTTACAACAGTAACATATAGTAACCGTCATCACCTGTGAACTATTGCTCCTGAGAAGAGGCCCAGAGGCTGGGAACATATTTGATCAACCTGAGGTCCTGTGGATCCTGGCAACTGCTAGCTGAGATTGTAGACATAAAGATTGTAATTTCTCTAGTATTACTTAGCTAGCTCCTTCAAACCCCAGGCCTGGGTAACTTTGGTATGCCCAGTCTAGGTTCTCCTGAAGGCTTCCTGATGTGCAGATTGAAGACTTCTCCTTCATCCTAGAATATGCTGATCCAGAGGTTGCTGATGTTATCATTTCATGTTTCTTGTTCATATTTACCTTTATACTTTTAGGCCCATGCCCGACATTGACACACTGATGCAGGAATGGTCCCCAGAGTTTGAAGAGCTTTTGGGCAAGGTGAGTGGAAGGTAGCCGGAGGTAAGATAAGAAAATATGGTATTCGCTCTAGGGCCCAGTGTTTTTTCTCTTCCTTCATTATTATTATTGGCAACTTTTTCTCTTTTTTTTTTTTGAGATGGAGTCTCGCTCTGTTGCCCAGGCCGGAGTGCAGTGGCCGGATCTCAGCTCACTGCAAGCTCCACCTCCTGGGTTTACGCCATTCTCCTGCCTCAGCCTCCCACGTAGCTGGGACTACAGGCTCCTGCCACCTCGCCCGGCTAGTTTTTTGTATTTTTTAGTAGAGACAGGGTTTCACCGTGTTAGCCAGGATGGTCTCGATCTCCTGACCTCGTGATCCGCCCGTCTCGGCCTCCCAAAGTACTGGCTTGAGCCACCGCGCCCGGCCTATTGGCAACTTTATCTTTTTTTTTCTTTTTTTTTTTTTTGGAGACAGGGTCTTGCTCTTCCCAGGCTGCAGTGCAGTGGCATGATCATGGCTCACTGCAGCCTATACCTCCCAGGCTCTAGCGATCCGCCCACCTCAGCCTTCCCAGCAGCTGGGACCACAGGCATGCACCACCACATTCAGCCAGTTTTTTAATTTTTGGTAGAGATGAGGTCTTGCTTTGTTGCCCAGGCTGTTCTCAAACTCCTGTTCTCAAACTCCTGTTCTCAAGCAATCCTCCTGCCTCAGCCTCCCAAAGTGCTGGGATTACAGGCACGAGCCACTCCGCCCAGAGATCATTAACTTTCTTTTTTTTGAGATGGAGTCTCACTCTGTCGCCCAGGCTGGAGTGCAGTGGCATGATCTCAGCTCACTGCAACCTCCACCTCCCAATTCAAGTGATTCTCTTGCCTCAACCTTTCTAGTAGCTGGGATTACAGGTGCTCACCACCATGCCACCATGCTAATTTTTGTATTTTTAGTAGAGAAAGGGTTTCACCATGTTGACCAGGCTGGTCTTGGTCTTGAACTCCTGAGCTCAAGTGATCCGCCTGCCTTGGCCTCCCAAAGTGCTGAGATTTCATTAACTTTTTAATGATAACACATGAAACCCATGTATATATTGTAATTCGATATATAAGAAAGAAAGATTTTGGTTTTTTTTAGACACAGTCTCACTCTGCTGCCCAGGCTGGAGTGCAGTGGTGTGATCTCGGCTCACTGCATCCTTCGCCCCCGTGCAGGTTCAAGCACTTCTCCTGCCTCAGCCTCCCAAGTAGCTGGGATTACAGGTGCCTGCCACTGTGCCCGGCTAATTTTTGTATTTTTAGCAGAGGAAGTGTTTCACCATGTAGGCCAGGCTGGTCTTGAACTGCTGACATCATGATCCACCCACTTCTGCCTCCCAAAGTGCTGGGATTATAGGCGTGTGCCACCACGCCCAGCCAAGAAAGATAGTTTTTTAAATGATTGGTGATAGAATGAGGGTATAGTGAGACAATTGACTATTTGAAAAAAAATTAAATTAGGTTTCTGCCTCAACCATATATGTATGTGAATTTCAGATGAATTAAAGAGTTAAGGTGAGTCGGGCACAGTGGCTCATACCTGTAGTTCTGTCATTTTGGGAGGCTGAGGTGTGAAGATTGCTTGAGCCCAGGACCAGCCTGGGCAACATAAGGAAACCCTGTCTCCAAAAAAAATAAATAAATAAATAAGTAAATAAATAAAAGAAGGGAAAAAAAGAGTTAATGTAAAAATAAAGCCATGTAAGTAATATAGTAATATATAGGAGATACAGAAGGAGCATGACTGAAAAAATAAATGAAATAAAATATAGGAGAAATTTAATTCTCTCTTTTTAAAAAATTCAAGTGTCTTATAACTTAGGGAAATTTAATTCTATTAGGATGGTTAGGTGTTTCTCAGTGTAAAAGAAACTTAAAAGTCATATTGAGGCTGGGCGCGGTGGCTTAGGCCAGACGTGATGGCTCACACCTGTAATCCCAGCACTTTGGAAGGCCAAGGCAGGTGGATTACCTGAGGTCACGAGTTTGGACCAGCCTGGTCAACATGGCGAAACCCCGTCTCTACTAAAAAAATACAAAAATTAGCCAGGTGTGGTGGCGGGCACCTGTAATCCCAGCTACTCGGGAGGCTGAGGCTGGAGAACCACTTGAACCCGGGGGCGGAGAGGGGCGCGGAAGTTGCAATGAGCCAAGATTGCACCACTGCACTCCAGCCTGGGTAATAGAGCGAGGCTCCATCTCAAAAAAAAGAAAACGTCGTAATGGAGTGGGAGGCCGAGATAGGAGGATTGCTTGAGCCCAGGAGTTTGAGACCAGCCTGGGCAACATAGATCCATCTCTATTAAAACAACAAAAAAAGGCCAGGCGCAGCGGCTCACTCCAGTAATCCCAGCACTTTGGGAGACCGAGGTGGGCGGATCACGAGGTCAAGAGATCGAGACCATCCTGGCCAACATGGTAAACCCCATCTCTACTAAAAATACAAAAATTAGCCAGGCGTGGTGGCGAATGCCTGTAGTCCCAGCTACTCGGGAGGCTGAGCCAGGAGAATTGCTTGAACCCAGGAGGCAGAGGTTGCAGTGAGCCGAAGTTGTGCCACTGCACTCCAGCCTTGTGACAGAGCAAAATTCTGTCAAAAAAAAAAAAAAAAAAAGTCATGATGGAGAAAATGTGACAGTTTAAACTCATAGAAATGAAAGGTTCTACATACGAATAGATACCATAAACAAAGTTAAAAGACAGTGGCAGTCTGAGAAAAAATATTTTATGTATGTATATAATAGAAAAAATTACTATCCAAGCAAAGAGCTCTTATATATTAATAAGAAAAGGAAACTGGGCCAGGCATGGTAGCTCACACCTGTAATCCCAGCACTTTGTGGGGCTGAGGTGGGAGGATCACTTGAGGCCAAGAGTTCAGGACCAGCCTGGGCAACAATAGGAGACTCTTCTCTACAAAAAAAAAAGAAAAGTAAAAGGAGCTGGACACGGTGGCTTATGTCTGTAATCCCAGCACTTTGGGAGGCTGAGGCAGGTGGATCACCTGAGGTCTGGAGTTTGAGACCAGCCTGGCCAACATGGTGAGATCCTGTCTCTATTGAAAACACAAAAAACAACTGGGCGTGGTGGCGCACATCTGTAATCCCAGCTACTCAGGGGGCTGCGACAGGAGAATCACTTGAATCTGGGAGGTGGAGGTTGCAGAGGCCGAGATCATGGCTCTGCACCCCAGTCTGGGCAACAAAGCAAGACTCTGTCTCAAAAAAAAAATTTTTTTAAGTATCAAAAAAGAAAAGGAAACTGAACAAAGATGCCCAACAGGTCCTTCCTAGCCATCATGTTTAAATTGCTGCACCAGCTCCCCAGCATTCCCTGCCCTCTGTCCCTGGTTCTTCTTGATAACACTTATCTTCTAAGGTACCATAGACTTTATTTGTTTAGTTTGTTCTTTCTTAGTAAAATATAAGCTCTATGAAGACAGACTTTTTTTTTTTTTAATATGAGGAATTGATTGTAAACGCAAAGAATTTGGAAACAGTCGCTTGAGCATTTTGAAGCTGTAGTTGATGGGAAGGTGTCTGATTAGGGGATTGAATAGCTAGGTTGCAGTACAGCCATTCAGTGAAATACTATGCAATGGAGTATTATTTAACCTTATTTTGCTCTAATACGAAGAAATAACAGTGATATGTTGTTAAATGAAAAAAGCAAATCATAGCAAGTTGCAGAACTATATGTACTCCATTTTTTGTAAAAAGAGAAAAGTTTTAAGAAACCAGTAGTTTAAAAAGTTCACACTGTGACTTTTTAGTTTCTCTGTTTAGATTCAGAGCCTGTTACCTGAGTTAGACGTCATGCCCATTTTCTCTGTTCATATGGTGTCCTGGGATCATTAGGCATTATAACACCAAGTAATGCATATATCACTGTTAATACTTGCCCATAACTTGGTATCCGTTTCTTTTTCACAGATTCCCACAGGAAAAGAGTATGGCAGTGTATTTTACCTATAAAATGTATGACCAATTCCATACTGATCGGGGGGAAAAAGTAGCATTTTGTATTATTTTGCTAGGCTGCCATAACAAAGTACCACAGACTGAGTGGCTTAGACATCAGAAATGTATTATTTCATAGTTCTGGAGGCTAGTAGTCCAGTAGTATACTGTCTAAGATCAATTTGTTGGCATGGTTGATTTTCCTTCCTTCCTTCCTTTCCTCCCTCCCGCCCTCCCTCCTTCTTTCCTTCCTTTCTTCCTTCATCCCTTCCTTCCTTCCTTTTTTTTTTGGGGGGGGGGTGTTACTCTGTGCCCAGGCTGGAGTGCAGTAGCTCAATCTCAGCTCACTGCAGCCTCAACCTGCTGGACTCAAGCGATCCTCCCACCCAAGCCTCCCAAATAGCTGGAACTACAGATACTCAGCACCACACCTGGCTAATTTTTTTGTAGAGATGGAATTTCACCATGTTGCCCAAGCTGGTCTCGAACTCCTGGGCTCAGGCGATCTGCCCACCTCAGCCTCCTACAGTGCTGGTATTACAGGCGTGAAGCCGCCATGCCCCACCAAAGGTGATTTCTTCTGAGGGGGTCTCTCCTTGGCCATCTTCTGTCTGTGTCTTCACATGGTCTTCCCTTTGTTATGTGTCTCTGTCCTGATTTCCTCTTCCTATAAGGACACCAGTCATGTTGGATTAAGGCCCACACTAATGACCTTGTTTTTTTGTTTTTTTTTGTTTTTTTGAGACGGAGTCTTGCTCTATCGCCCAGGCTGGAGTGCAGTGGCCAGATCTCAGCTCACTGCAAGCTCCGCCTCCCGGGTTCACGCCATTCTCCTGCCTCAGCCTCCAGAGTAGCTGGAACTACAGGCGCCCGCCACCTCGCCCGGCTATTTTTTTGTATTTTTTTAGTAGAGATGGGGTTTCACTATGTTAGCTAGGATGGTCTTGATCTTGTGACCTCGTGATCCGCCTGTCTCGGCCTCCCAAAGTGCTGGGATTACAGGCTTGAGCCACCGCGCCCGGCCATGACCTTGTTTTAACTTAATTATCTCTTTAAAGATGTTATCTCCAAATATAGTCACATTCTGAAGTACAGGGAGTTAGGAACTCAATATCTGAATTTTAGGGGAACACATTTCAGCCCATAACATGTGTCTTATGCTAGAAGCTCTTTTCCTTCAGAGAGAGAGTGGTTCTGGGACCACTGACACCAGCCTTTTGACTTTGGTCCTTCCCATGCCTCTTCCAGGTGAGCCTGCCCACAGCAGAGATTGATTGCAGCCTGGCAGAGTACATTGACATGATCTGCGGTGAGTTCCTCCTTCCTTTCCTCGTCCCCATCTCTGGTCAGAGGCGCTCTAGGCTTTTGGACAGGCTTGTTTACTCTGGGAAGATAGCATCTTGAGTTTTAGCTTCCACATTAAGCCCGTTGTGCTCTTTGGCAGCACTCGAAGGTGGTGGTTGGGCTTATGTGACTACCTGCTGGGTATTTAACCCCCAAAGTCATAGTGACACCCCATCTGCCAGGGGTTTGGCTATCCTAAACAGAAATGCCCCTGATTCCCAGAGTTTGTTTGGTTCTGTTCCTGGAAGTTCTTCTTCATTTCAGCCATTCTAGACATCCCTGTCTACAAGAGTCGGATTCAGTCCCTCCATCTGCTGTTTTCCCTCTACTCAGAATTCAAGAACTCCCAGGTGAGCCAAGCATCAGGGGTTGACTTAAGCTGTAGAGAGGATCACTAGTTTCTACTGTTCTGAACCTGCTGTGATTGCATCCTATAGCGATGTAGGATGTCTCTGCCCAGTTACCTTTGCCCTTTCCCATAATTAGGAGAACAAAGGAGGCAGGGATGGGGTTTTCAAGGGGAAAGTGGAGGAAAAAAAGGGTGGGGGGAAGTAAGAGATGTGGGCCTTAGGTGAAATTAGCCGAGGATCTACAGAGGATACTCATTCTTTCAGGAGAACCAATGGCCTCATGAATGGAAGCAGGAAGGAAATAAAGGGGGGTCATTTTAAAGAAATTAATTCTTGCTAAAATATAGCAACTAGCATATCCCTAATACTCAATGTTCCCTCTCCTCTTTCCTTGCAGCATTTTAAAGCCCTCGCTGAAGGCAAGAAAGCATTCACTCCTTCATCCAACTCCACCTCCCAAGCTGGAGACATGGAGACATTAACCTTCAGTTGAGACAGCTCCCAAGCTGCTGTTTCAAGGCCGAGCTGGCCCCTCTGCCCCAGCTGAGATGGACAGATCGTTGTCAGCTACTTGATGTCCTTGCCTATGCCACAGCTTGGCTGAGGGCCAGTGCATGCCCTGCTGCCCTCTCTGCCAGAGGGCACAGAACATGTTTGTTTAATGAACCTGCCTGCCTCAGATTGCTGTCCCTGGCGAGTTAATGCATCTATACCACTGTGGGGATTTGAGTTAGAAGAATTGGAATTTCTGAGATCCCACGGAGTTTGGATTGGGAGGAAAGCTTAAAAGATTTCCTTTTTGTGGGAGGGATGGAATTGTTTTCTTTCCTTCGTAAAGTTAGTGGGTAAAAATTTTATAAATCAAATGCTCTATTATATTGTCAGATTATTCTGCTATTTAATATGAAAGAGAAAAGGCTGACTGAGCATAAGGCAGAGACACAGGAACTTTGCTTAGTAATGGGCATTAAATGAAGAGTAGTTAAAGCAAACACATTTTGTGAAATAAAATGAAACCCCAATCCTCCAAGATTGGCAGTCGAGGGGAATCATTTTTCTGCTGGAATTTAATTTTTCTAAGGGTCTCTCTTCAGTTAATGCTGCCTTCCTGAGGCTGTCTGCCTCCAGACCTGTCTGGTTGTGGTCTCAGGGAGCGTAGCTATTGCAGTAATCTGGGTGAGAGGTGATTGGGGTGGCAGTAGTAGAGATGGACAGATTCAGGAAATATTTTGGAGTTATGTCAGCCAAGCTCCAGTCAGGAAGTCTGAAACCATGCTAGTTATTTCTAACAAAGGGTGTTTAGCCAGGCACGGTGGCTCATGCCTGTAATCCCAGAACTTTGGGAGGCTGAGGCGGGCAGATCATGTGGTCAGGAGTTCGAGACCAGCCTGGCCAATAATATGGTGAAACCCCATCTCTACTAATAATACAAAAATTAGCCAGGCATGGTGGCACATGCATATAGTCCCAACTAAGGAGACTGAGGCAGAAGAATCACTTGAACCTGGGAGGTGGAGGTTGCAGTGAGCCAAAATCGTGGCACTGCACTCCAGCCTGGGAAACAAAGCAAGACTCCGTCTCAAAAAAAAAAAAAAAAAAAAGAAAAAGGTGTTTTAATATGGGGAATTGGCCAGGTGCAGTGGCTCATGCCTGGAATCCCAGCACTTTGGGAGGCTGAGGTGGGTGGATCACTTGAGGACAGGAGTTCAAGACTGGCCTGGCCAACATGGTGAAACCCTGTCTCTACTAAAAATACAAAAAATTAGCTGGGTGTGGTGGTGGGCACCTTTAACCTCAGCTTACCAGGAGGCTGAGACAGGAGAATCACTTGAACCCAGGAGGTGGCGGTTACAGTGAGCCAAGATCGTGCCACTGCACTTCAGCCTGGGCAACAGAGCAAAACTCTTTCTCAAAAAAATATATGTAATAATATGATAAATTGGTTCCAAAAGTGTTGTAGAGGCTGAAGGAGCAAAAGGGAGAATGGAGGGTACTGAGGAACATAAAAGTTAAAGGGGTGGTAGCCATTGCTGGCGCTGGTAGCAGAGGTGCTCAGCTGGGGCCAGGTCTTCAGTAGCCAAGGAGGTGCCACACTCGGGCACTGCTGACCACCACAGGTGTGTACTGCCACCACTACAGTGACTAGAGCAGTGACTGCTGCTTCCTTGTCCCACTGTCTCGTCCCCTGCTGGTGCCTGCCACTGTCAGAGGTTAATAGTTTGCCAGGGAATCTGGCAGTAGGAAGCAGAGTGTAGAAGGGAAGGATAGGACTGAGAGACGACAAAGAAATATCCAGTAGACATAGAACCAAGAGAACTTGCTGATTGAGCCAGCGTGGGGAATGGAAGGAAAGAAATCAAGGATGACTCCCAGCTTTTTTTTGGCTTGAGCAGCTGAATGGATAATGAAGCCAAATACTGATACGGGACAGAAATTGTTTGAAGGGGAAGATTACATTAAAATGCTATACCAGGCCAGTTGCTTTGGCTCACGCCTGTGATCCCAGCACTTTGGGAGGCCAAGATGGGAGGATCATTTGAGCGCAAGAATTTGAGACCAGCCTGGGCAACATAGGGAGACCCTGTCTCTACAAAAAATAATTAATTGGGCATGGGAGGCCGAGGCGGGAGGATCCCTTGAGCCCAGGAGGTTAAGGCTGCAGTGAGCCATGATCATGCAACATGGCAAGACACTGCTGTCTAAACAAAACAAAAAATCGATACCATCAGCCTAACAGATACACAATAAACACACAGGTAGGAGAGGAACTGTTTCTTATAAACCCTGTAACTATGATCATCACGCTTGAAGCCTCAGTTTTGTTTTGTTGTTTTTTAAGAGACAGGGTCTTGCTGTATTGTCTAGGCTGGAGTGCAGTGGCATTTCATAGGCCCCTACTCTTGGGCTCAAGCCATCCTCCTGCCTCAGCCTACCAACTAGCTGGAACTGCAGGTGCACCACCATGGCTGGCCTAAGTTTGACATTATATCAGGCCCACATGCTTTGCTCTCAGATGGGTACCATTAATGCTCACATTCAACTCATAGGGAATGAAGGGAGACAAAATTGGATAGGATTCCATTAGGTTTGCTCCATTAGGTTTTCAGGAAGCAATCAGATGGCCTTCTGAGCTGAAAGATAACACTGATAAATACAGTTGATTCTCATTCATGGTGGTTATTCTGTAAAGTCACTTACTTAGCAAATATTGAACTATAGAACCATTGTTCCTAGAGGAAATACAGAGTTAGGTTCCTGTGTAGCTCTGGTCATAACATCTCATCAGCTGACCGCTAATTCATTGAACTCGTAGCCAACAGCACTATAACTCATGCCTGAATGAGCTATACTGCTAACACATATTTTCTCCATGGGGCACATCACAGCCTTCTTGCACCTAAGAACACAAGATAGCACTTCAGTACTACTCTTGGAAACCATTTTAAACAGCGAAATTACCATCAAAAATGTTCAAAATGTAGCACTACATAGCCTGCAAAAAGGACACTTGTTTCTAATATGAGTTGAAATGAGGCAGAGTGCTGCCTTCAACCTCAGCTGGGAATGTGGGCATCAGGAAACCAGAATTTTTCAGTGTTCTGAGCATGTCCAAAAATGACCATGGAAACAAGTAGTAATTTGGGGTTGCAAATAGATTTTAGCAAGTAGGTGAATTCACAAATACAGAATCTGCAAATACTGAGAATCAGTTGGACTCCCTGCCTAAGCTCCTGGTTGGTGCCTGGGCCTTTCAGCTTCTCTGTCTCCTCCAGCACATCCACCACACCTCTTCAGGGATCATCTTCAGATGGCTTTCACCAGGCTTCTCTCTCCAACAGTCTCGAGTTACTCCCTTTTGGCTACTTGCTCTGTAACCCTAGGAAAAGTCAATTAACGTCTATGCTTGCTTAACGCAGCCATGAAACAGTTACAATAAACACTAACTTTGTCCTGTGGATAAAAGTAATGTGAAAAGATTAAGTGGGCTGGGCACAGTGGTTCACACCTGTAATTCTAGCACTTTGGGAGGCTGAGTTAGGAGGATCACTTAAGCTCAGGAGTTAAGAGACCAACCCAGGGAACAAAGCAAGACCATGTCTCTACAAAAAATAAAATAGCTGGGTATGGTTGCGCATTCCTACAGTCCCAGCTGCTTGGGACGTTGAAGCAGGAGGATCATTTGAGCCCAGGAGGTGAAGGTTACAGTGAGCTATGATTGCACCACTGCACTGAAGCCTAGGTGACAGAGTGAGACCCCGTCTGCAAAAAATAAGTGCTAGTGCCATAAAATGTAAAATATAATAATTTTGTTACTAAGTATACATTTTCAATTCTGGCCTCTTAGACTTTCCATTTGGCTACTCTCTCCCTACCCCAAGATCCTCACTTTCTACAGTTGTCCAATGTAAACTGCAAAACCAATTTGCTTGTCATGCTCTGCATGTGACTCATGAGTTCTCTGTTCCAACTAAACTTTTAGGTAGGCGATTTTCCTTGCTGAAAGTGTCGCTCGCCTTCTCTGCTGATCCTAGGCTCTTGGCACTTCCAAGTAAACAAAAATCAAACTCAAGTATTTACATCTTCACTCCTTCCTTTAATCCTACTAAAATGTCAGTATAGGAAACTAAATAGATGTAAACCAGCGAGGACAGATAATAGGAAAGAAAATGATGAGAGACTAGAGAGCAACAATTGTAGAAGATGAAGGGGTAACTGATTTAGTAGGAGAAAGATAAAAAACCTGAAATCTAACTGCATGTGGAGGACAGGGTCTGAGAGTCAGTGAGAAGGAAGCCACTTCACACTGTGGAACCCTGGAAAGGATTGGGAACAGAAAGTGCCAGATAATTCCGATAGCAAGTGTATAGGGTGGGGCTAAAAACAGGAGGTTGGTTGAAGGTTTATACGGGAAGCAGATCCCCAGAACCTTCCCCCACTGTGCACCCACCTCCTTATCTTAACAGAAAATGGGCACCTTTGAACCAGGTAGGCTCGGACATGAGAATACCAAGCAACTATGAGGACAGAAGTAAGGGGCAATGTTTAAATAAAAGGATTAAATAAAGGAATGAGTTTGCATCCAGCCCTGTGTCAAGCTTATACCTCCAAAGCAGGATACTGAAAGAGTCTACTTCCAGGAAATTGATCAGACAAAGACGAAAGACCTACAGATACTGACAATTAGGATTCTTTAAGCAAATGTCCAGGTCCTACCTATACCTCAACTTCCAGATTTTTTGTCTTAATCGTGTGTGCACACACAAACCACAAACTACCATACAGAAGATAAGAAGGAAATAGAGGACTTCTTTTTTTTATTTTTTTATTTTTTTTTAAGAGAGTCTCATTCTGTTGCCCAGGCTGGAGTACAGTGATGAGATCTCGGCTCACTACAAACTTCCCTTCCTGGGCTCAGGTGATCCTCCCACCTCAGCCTCCTGAGTAGCTGGGATTATAGGCATGCACCACCATGCCTGGTTTTTCTGTTTTTTTGTTTGTTTATTGTTTATTTTTTTTACTTTTTTTTTTTTTTTGTATTTTTAGTAGAGACAGGGTTTCACCGTGTTGGTCAGGCTGGTCTTGAACTCCTGGTTTCAAGTGATCCACCCACCTTGGCTTCCCAAAGTGCTAGGATTACAGGTGTGAGCCACTATGCCCAGCCAGAAATAGGAAACTTAATAAATCAATCAGCGCTAATAGAAATACAAAACACTTGGCCGGGCGCGGTGGCTCACGCCTGTAATCCCAGCACTTTGGGAGGCTGAGGCGAGCGGATCACAAGGTCAGGAGATCGAGACCATCCTGGCTAACATGATGAAACCCCATCTCTACTAAAAATACAAAAAATTAGCCGGGCGCGGTGGCG